CATGACAGAAGAAGAGAGAAACAAAAATTGTGGAAGGATGGACCTATAGTGTTAAAATCTAAGGTTAGATTAGCACTGGCTAAGATGAAGAGGAAATCAGTACTTAATAAGATGAGATGGCAATAGAGATATTGATGTCCTTAGATGATTTTGGTACTGATAAGGTTACTGAAATACTGGAAGATCTCAGTATATCTATCTCTGTAGTGCTGCTAAAGAATCCAGGTGTAGATGAATACAAACTCCACTGGACGATCAGCTCGATGAGCGACATAAGTACTCATTAGGGTTCTAATTAATATAGCTCAGAGCAGAATTAGGCTGGAAATAGTGCAAGAACAGTGTAGCTGTTGTTGAAGATACTGGAACAAGAAATGCTACTTTTATGATCTTAATACTATCTGTGCAAACAATACAAATGATCTATGGAGCAAAGACCTGCATGAAATATTACAGTGAAAGGTATTAACCTATACTGGGAACAAATGATTTGCATGTAGATACTGGGTTTTGTGAATACATTTTCTCACCAGACATTTAACCTGTACAGCAAGATTATCTTAAAGAATTAAAAGACCCTATAAGGATTTATTACTTGAAGACTTTGAAAAACAACTGAAAAGATTCACTATTAAATGTAAGATGGAATGCATGGCAAAAAGGCTACCTATCTGGGTAATAATGAAAAGTGGCACAGAAATAGCAAAAGATGCGTTTCAGAAACTAAGCAAAGTACCGAGATGAGAAAATAACCTTAGAAATGAAGAAAAGGGTATTGAAATGCTGTGTAATATCTAATCTCCTATAGGATAATTAATGTTGAAAAATCTTGCAGATGAAGACTTGAGATAGGGTTTTATAATGAATGCATCCTTATTATTCATGTTATGTTAGTGAATACCACTGACAAATCATGAATAATAATGTTTTAAGAATAGGAGCTACAAGAAACTGCTGCTACCAATTAGCTTGGGCATAATGAGGAAGGGTTATGTAAATTTAATACACACAGGACATATTGAAAGCAAGCTGGTGATGCTGGTTGAGTGAATTAATAGCAGAACAAAGACAAAGAGATATTAAAGGTGCTAGAGTTATTTAAAGCAACAGAATATAGGAGGCTGTGGAGAACCATGATTACCTGTGTTTTGAAAGTAAATGGCATATTTATAGAATTTTAGTTAATTCCTATCAATATTTTATATAATGATCATGTGATCTGTACTTAGGAGTCTTGATTATAACAAACATTTTTTGGCATATGGATTGCTTTCATTTTTAGTTTCTTTTTCTCTGGTACTGTTAAAAATTACTTATTAATGTGTGATTACATACATATTAATATTTAAAAGACATCACCTGGAGCTTTTTCTTAGTAATGTAACCAGGACACTGTTTATGAAAACTAATATATATTTGAGATTACTAAAGATATACAAGTGTAAAAAGGATGATTTTTCGATTGCAGACGGTATTGGTATCAAAATATCAAAGCAAAAATGTCCCCTTGTAATGTTGGCTTTTCATGCATTACCTGCCATCTGTACTACAGTTATTTATACAAAGGTGAAGCTTGGATTACTCTCATGTCACCTTCTTTTATCTATTGTTACAAGGTTACATACTAGTGATAGGATTATTTTGGGATAACTGATAGTAAGAATGGGAAATGGGAGGATTTGAGAATTCCTTCCATTCTAAGAGAACATGTATATGAAAGTGAAACCATTCACTGCAACAAGAATGAAAATTCTGTTTTCTAAGATACTAACATGTTTTTCTAAAGTAGATTTTGAATTTTTTTTTTTTTTAAGGAAATGGTACTTTTTCTTATGCTTTCGAAATGATTTCACACACTGCAGTTTTCCACTTATTAATCAGCATTATAGGGATCACTTTCTAAACTCTACTTGCTTTACAGAATTTAAGAATAGTCTAATCACTTTCTCATATATATATATACACACACACATATATATACACACACACACACACACACACAATCATTTGTGTAATTGAGTGCAAACAACAAATTGAATAATTAAAATATTAAATTACAAAGAAGATGCAGATGCAATGAATAGGATGGAATACATAAAGCAATGTGTTGCTATCATGAGATAGAGCTCTCACTCTTTTCTCTCATCAGGTTGTTTTAAACTCTGTACTTATTAAAAACGAAAACTTGAAACATTTGTGGTGTTTTTTTTTTGTTTTTGTTTTTTTCTGTTTTTCTGAAAAAGTAATATAACATGAAATTCTCTGTTGGGCCTGAAGCAAGTGATACTTCTGCACACAGTTCATTTCTCATTCTATTATCTTATCGAACCACCTGTCTTTTTAAAAATTGCTTATTACTGTCAATTAATTGCAGTTGGTTGGCTAAATATGCTGTAGTAAAACCTATTTCTCAACTTCAGACCCAATTTAGTAAAAAATTGTAACAAAGTTTGATTTAGGCCTTTTTTCTCTTTTGATCTCATTTCCCCCCAAGCAAGGCAATAAAGTCACTAAGAAGCAAGAGGTTATTTCATGTTAGAGAACATGAGAAGAATATACTATTAAGGAGAGAGGAAAATAAAAGAAAAAGGATTAAGAAGACAAAATAATGTTTGACATTGCATTTAAAGTTTTGAAGATCAAAGTTGACTGGGAAGCAAGAAGCCAGAAAAGAGTTCCACAAGCAAGAAGTGATAGAAGAAACTGTTAACATAAAACTTAGTTGCATCTCACCATTTCAATGGTAAAATGATGAGACCTTGCTACTAATTTAGTATGGCACTTAAATTCATAGTCTACGTACCATAGAAGAAAGTTAATCAGAGCAATTATAATGAAAGTATTTATATAAAAGGCAGAGGGAAGCTATGGGGAAAGTGACTGAAGCTGAAATGCTAGATTCTTCTTTGGATTATATCAAGAATCTCTAAATATATTGCAGGAGTAACAAACCAGATGTGGCAGCAATATTCAAAGCAAAGATGACTGCTAGACTCATAGATATGTAAGATAGATTTTGTCAAGAAAAATTGTCTAGAGCAGCACCGTGAATCCAATTTTCCTAGCTAGTCTTAGCAATTGATTCAGTATACTCTTTCCACTTCATGTTAGTCTGAGAAGATGCAATGAGTCATTCTCCTGGAGCCATGCTGGTGGAAGGTAAAAAGGGTTCTCTCAGCAGATGATTAAAAGAGAGCAGTTTTGTTTTAGAGGAATTAAAATTAACAAGCCACTTCTGGTCCCATTTAACAACAGATTGTAGGTTAGTTTTGAGATAAGCTGCCAATTTGACCTTATTGAACTTAATAGATTGCTCTGGGACAAATCATGTCTCCAATTTTTACATGCTTCAGTCTTTTTCTATTTAATTCAGACATTTTAACTTCTCAGCTATCAAAGCAAGTCTAGAAAATTGAATAAATTGACTGGAAGATGCTGCATCTGAGTTTTCTTTTATAATCTAAAGGAGTACAAAAATTAAAAAAAAAAACAAAAAAAAAACGACAGACATACAAACAGAATTTGGATGAGAAAAATACTAAGAAAACATTGACACTGGCATTTCAATATCTAATAATGTCAATAACATGGTGGCATATTAGCAATCCAAAGCAAGAAATGTAGTGTTATGGTTTTTAAACAATGCCTGCCAGATTAACATTGTGGGCAGGTGGCCGAGTGGTTAGAACATTTACATTCTAACCATGAGGCCAATTTGTCAGGAAGGTGACTTGTTGATGTTATCAACCTGGAGGAGGTGATCTCGGTGTGTGGCACCTTTTGGAAAGTGTCTGAAAACCATACCATGGATTGACCCAAGCCTTGTAAGTGAAATTGAGTAGACAGTTCTCTTTGGGAGCGATCGATGGTTGGGCTAACACAGTCATAAGTCATTGTGACCAAGCGAGCTGGCCTTGCTTAGACAGTTGATCACACTAGATAATGCACTCTCTCCCCCAGAAATTATGACGAAGGTCCACTCAGCATTGTTGCAGTATAAAACACAGGTGGTCTTTGTGAGTGTTTGAACAAACACAAATGTGCCTGAGCAGGCGTCTGCAACAAGGATTAGCATACACACTGGTATTTAAGTAGGTGCTTTGTTTATTCATGAAGCGGTATATTTATTTTGTCTGCCAGCCTTGAATGCTCAATAAATCTTATTAAAGAAAAATTTGCGTTCTCTGGCAGGAATCAAACCTGCATCCTTCAGGGCAGAGGGAGTGCTATCATTTTGTCTTGCAAGCTTATGTTTGGATGTAAAACTGTGCAGATATGAAAAGCTTTGAGATCTATAACAGGAGAAATTTTACTTGAAAGCACAAAATTTGGTTGCTCTTAGTGGTAACGCGTGTAAGGCTAAATGAATGATTTTAATGAAATGAAAATAAATGACTTAAATATACTCTCATATTGTTATTCTACAAATCAAATATTGCTGAATTCTTATTTGCTATCCTTGGGAGAACTGCTTTCCATGATAATGCTGTTCCTCTGGTGGATGGCTGTCTACCCACTCATATCCAAGGATGCCCATCTACTAGGGTGTCTAGCTAATCCCCATTGCAGACACCTGCTATCACTTTTATACACTTATTTTATATATATATATATATATATATATATATATATATATATATATATATATTTTACTTGATGAAGTTTTTTTTTTTAATAGCAATAAAATTCAATCAGGTTCATATATTTCTGTTTTCACTCGACATTGTTAAAATCTTAAGTCCATATATACATAGGGATTCAAGAAGTACAGTATAAGCTGAAATGTGCAAAATATTGAATTGGTTGGTTCTAAATGATTTTTATAATTCTGTTGTCACTTTGACAGCTGCTAAGAGAGCATTTCACAAGAAATCCAATTTTGGTATACTGTGTAAGAATTGTGTATTTTAAAATATTTGGATTATTTTTGTTTTCTTTTTCTTCATATAACTATTATATAGTCAATATATTTTTAGAATATTTTGTTTTTACTTTTTCAGGGAACCGGATGTTTAGTTTTCGGGATGAAGATGTTGACTTTTACCTGCCACAGATGTTGAACATGTACATACATATGCATGATGTGGCAGAGGCCATTCACCCATACCTTGTGCACAGGTAAGCTGAATTAATAGTATTTTGTTTTGTTCACCTGGCTAATCTGCTTTGTTTGGTCTTTGGCTGTAATATGCAAACACCTGTCTGTGTTGGTCTATAGCAGGCCAGTCACAAGTGTGTATGCCAAAGGTTTATGTCAAAATGATAAGCCTGTTCATACTTGTCAGGAAAAACAACTCACAAAATAATGTAAATAGGTAAATGTAATGCAATGGCAAGAAAATTAAAGAAATTTGCTTCTAAATGTAGAAGATGAGGTTTGTTGTTTTGGGATTACTTTTCTTTCTCATTCCTCTTTTCATTTTCTAGTACTTTCTCCCCTAATTATTCCTTTTAGCTATTTGTCTTTAAGCATTACTTAACAGTGGTCAGCATGTCAAGTTATTGAGGGAATGTTTCTCGATGGGCATTGATTTTTACACAAAAGTACTTGCTGATATTAGTGAATAGACATTTGGTTTTTGGTGTCAAGTATACTGTTAATGTCATTAAAGCTATTTAATCTTTTTACAATATCCTAGTTTGATCTGGTTAATGTTTCTAATTATTTTTTGTCATAAAAAATATTGAAACCCTGAAAATGAGTGTAAATAGAAACTGTAAATATTGAAACTTTATAACAACTAAAAAGGACAAATGCTTCTTTTAAATGGCTGAAAAGTAATCTAATACTCCTAAATAATCTAATACAAAGGACAATATTTGATTTTTATTTATTTAAACATTGATTTGCTATTAGTTATGTGCCATATTTGTAAACTTTGACCCTCTGCAGGATATCATGGGTGGAGATTTTGACCCATTGATGTAAAATAATTAGTTTCACTCATGAAAAGGACAAGTGTAAATCTATCTTCTGGTTAATAAATGTGCTTGTTATCCATACAGGCACAATATTTGACCTTTTTGCAACATTATCTATTGTCACCACTTCTGGTTTTTAACTACGCCTGTAATCAGTGAAGCCCATTATATTAGACCCCCCCCCGCCATATCTACTTGACTTATTTCTTGAGCTGTATCATGCCATAACCATTTTGAGTGACCACCAGCCTTCAAATAATATCAAGTTTCAGAATCAACTGAAGATTCTTTGTGAAGAAGAATCTTCTTTACAAATAAAGAAATGTGAAAGTTGGGAATAAAATTTGATCAATGCATAGGCATTGATAACTTGCTGTTGTAACAAGCATGTGACCAGGAGAAGATAGTCTTGAATAATTATCCAGACTATGCCTCATGATCACTAGTTGGCATCTAAATGATTCATTGTCTCTCGAGGACAAGGCTCAAACCTATATTTCTTGTTTCACCTTAAATAGAACTGATGTTATAAAACTGTGAGATTCAATCTGTTGAGTAGATTTTAATTGGTGATCTGTTTCTATATCTTTCTGATAATAAAATATATCAACACTGAGGTTGTTTTTCTGTAAGAAAAATTGACTACAAAACATTTATTCTATAGCCGTATTTCTGATAAGGATCATACTCCACACTCACTCTTTTAGTATTCTTCTTTCCAATAACTGAAGAAATATAATGTAGTTGTGTTACTCAGATATATTTGCTTTTCAGCATATTTATTTTGAATTTGCCATCATTTCTATGAAGCCAGTTTTTATGGGTTGGTTGATTTGAAATATTCTGTAATGCTAACATATTCCAGCCCCAAACATCAATTTCAGTTTTAAATGGACATTAATGTGGGCTGTTTTTCGTAAGAAAAACAAAACAAATCCTGCCTATTTGTCAATGGTGCATTTGAAATGATTATTCATTTTAGATGTTGTTTTATTTAAATTACTGATGAAGTCAAGAATCTCTGGCAAGTAATTGCTTAACAAAGAAAAAAGGTTGTAAATAGAATATAAGTATTTGCTAACATACATCAAATTTAATAAAAAGAAAAAAATGCAGGATTGTGTGAGACCATCTCTCATGAAGATAATATAATTGATTGAAATTATGCAGCTCCGAAAATCTTTTATTTGTTCTAGAATGATTTCTTGGTTAAAACAACCAAATAGTATTCATTTTCATGGGAGAGAAGCTGAATAACAAAAGGACTTTTTTTTTTTTTTTTAATTATTGGTGAGATTAAAACCAGAATCAATTTATCAAAAACCTGTAATATCCACCATTTAATTCAAAATGATACCACCATTAATGACAATCCATTAATGATAACCATCCAATTTTCTTGTATTTTTGTAACAAAAGAAATGTAAAGAACGATTTATTGCAAGTTCCACAGAAATAAAATGATCATTTTTGGTTATCACTGTAGCTTAAAAAAAAATAATAATTTGAAGGGATGAGATGATATAAAAGTCACTTTTAATCATTAGCAAATCCCTGTGTGTGTGTGTGTTTTCTCCTCCCAATTTTCAACAATTTTTCCCCTAAGGAAAAAACAAGTTAATTAAAATCTAAATTAAATGAAGTTCAAGATTTTTTTTCTTTCAAATTTTTTTTTTTTTTCCCCTTTTTTGAGAAGTTATCAGAGTTTGTTTACGAAATGTCTTTTTGTGTTTAAGAAATTTTTCTGGCACCTGATATTGCTTTACTGTGAACTCTGGGATATCTAATTTAAATTCTTGTGAATTTTATATAATTTTCCAGTAAAAATGTATTTTTACAAGAAAAACAAAAAATAATTGCTTTTTTGTTTATAAAAAGAAATTGTCTATTCAGCATTTTTGTATATAAATTTTAGAAACCTTCAAGATATGTACATGTTCTCTATAGGCTTTTAATGTGAGTTATAGTGCTGCAGAAGGAATCTTTGTCTATTTGGTATTCTGTAACACCTGCAAAAGCATAAATTAAAAATCTGAAGGTTAGAGTGACTCCAAAAGTATTTAAGATGTTACTTTTTTTCTGCAGTCCAGATGTTTTTTATGCTGAGAATGGGTATCAGTTGCTATGATGTTAAAATTATTCTTACAAAATTGATTGATGTCCAACCTCAGTGATCAAATATATTGAAAATGGATAGAAAAGTTAGGAATGATGTTCAAATTCTATAAGGCATGCACATATATATGAGAGAGATATATAGAATGAGGTCAGTAATATACAATAACCAGCAGATAGTACTGTTAATATTAGATTAAAACTTGATAATAAAGAACTCTGCTTTTCTTCCTTGGAGCCATATATATTGACTATGTTGACCTAAATATCCTCTTTTATATTTGTATATGCTCTATCCCTGATATTGAGCACTTTTTTATCCATAAACATCATTCAGTTAATCAGTTATGTGCCATGTGTGATACATGCTTAGGTGATCATGTATCTTTTGATACATAACTGACGAGGCAGTTTTTTCCTGCAGTAGATTGCCACTTCTTTCTGCGGTAGACCAGTTGCCATCCAAGTCTATAGAACCCGGTCTGACCTGCTATTTACAAGTGAATGCAATGGATTTGACTACCTTTCTTAGGAATTTGTAAAAATTTAATTATATTTTTGTTTAATGCTTTTTAAGGATGAATTGTTCAAGGAATTTCTCACTTTCCAAGACCACAATTGCTACATTTTATAAACTAAATATTTAACTTTTTTCATTTTATTTCCTAAAATGTTTTATATTATTTAAAAGAAAAATAAAAGTTCTTGCTAATGTCTTATTTTAGTTTAGAAAAGAAAATTGTTAAATTTGGTTCAGTGGAAATATAGGAATAACTATGAAATTTTATATTCCCAGGTTTGGTTAGTATAATTGATTTATTTTGGAAAAAACTATTAATTAAATGAGTCAATAGTTTATTCTTTCTACCAAATTATGTATATTTTGGACATTGTGGGAGAAAAAAATTGGAATTATATTTTTGATATAACCCTTAACATTCGATTATAAGAAATAATGAAGTTTGATTTTTCAAGCAATTTTAATTGTAGTTATCTGTTAACTCTGACCATAAAACCTGGTATTATAAGTTTCTACTTATAGCCCATCAATGCCTACCTTTCCAAAAATTGGATGGTGAGCATTAATGCATTAGTGAGGAAAATTCTTCAATATCTTTTGAAAACTAACTTTAAATATATAGTAAAACTTACTACAGAAAAAACTCATGTCAGAATAATTTGGAGCTGAAATATCTTTAGTTTAAATATTTTTGAATGTTGTATAGAGTAGATAATTGCTAGATAATGGCAATGTATTTGAAGTTAACCTTTTAGGAAATATTCATACTGAGTGTGGTTAACTTATGACTGTTCAAAAAAAAAGTTCAAATTTATTTTTATTTATTGATAGTAAATGAGATAGACTATAAAATAATGGGCATATATATTCTTCCATTGAAGAAAAAAAAATTCAATTTTTTTTCTCAAATCTCTAAGATACTGTATTGCCATTGATTTTATTTTATTTTTTTATTTTTTTTTATTTTTTTAAAAAGAAAAAACTTCATATGACCCAACAGAAAGGTTAGGGAAATTATGCTAGTATTCTAAATAAGGGAGAGCTTGCCTACCTTGAAAATCATCATTTGCAATTCTTTTTAATTTGGGCTTAAACACCAAAGGTGCATTCCTACATTTACAGTTTCTAACTTCACCAGGTAATTGTGTGTGTATACAGTGTGCTTGAAAATAAAAGTGTAATCATACACATTACTCAATAAGTTGGTATTCTTTCTTTAAAATAATTTCTATGAATGCTTTTTAGTTTCTTGTGTTGGAAATTTTCTTTGTACTTTTTGAAAGTACAGCCTGTAAGAAGCTCTTTATCTGCATATTCATTTACATATGTGCATCTGTCTGTTTCAATGTGCATGCATAAGTATGTATTGATAAGACTTGTCTAATTCTTGCTGGCATTTTCTCCTCTCTAAGATAAAACTATTTTTCTTTTTTTTTGTGATTCTAATCTGAATACTTCCAATGTTTTTTTTTCTTTCTTCAATCTCCATTATCTTCTATAGAATATAAAATCCAAGAATTTTGAGACCAGCTTTGATATTGGTTCAAAAAATTGTTTATCTGATCCACTTACTGGGCTTTATTTGTTTATTTTTTTTAAAGAACACTGCTTGAAGTTTTTTTAGTGAGTTCCTTTGGAGTTTGTGGGAGTATTGGATGATAACAAGAAAAATGCTTGACTGTATGACAGTTCCAGTGTCTAACTAGTATTGTAAATTTTGTAAAAGCAAAATTCATTGCAAGAAAATTTGTCTGGAATTCCATTTTCCTAATTGACTCTTTACTGAAAAAAAAAAAAATTGAACTGAATACTTTATATTCTATTATCATTTTTGCAACCTTTTAAATTTCTAGAAGTTGTGCAATTGAAAAGGCAGTGGTTTGCTAAAAAAAAATACTGATAAATCTGTGTTCTCTTCCCACTTTTCACACTCTGACAGACAGTGCTGAAACTTAAGTGTGTGCATGTGTGTGAAAAGGAAAAGATGTCTTTTCTGAAGGACTGTCTTATGTTTTTTGTGGTTACAAGGAGAATTAGGTAAGGTTTATTTATTGCCATTCTTGGTGTCTGCCTAACACGGAACTTGATTAGTGTTAGGCAGGCAAACAGACAATGGGTTTAGGCTGCCAAAGAGCAAGTATTTGATTATGCAAACCTAAACATAGAAAAGCCAGTCATCAAGATGAATTGTTGCTCAAGATCAATCAAATATTAAGAGGTTTGGTGATGAATGGAAAGCATCAGTTAAGCACAGATCAAATAAAGTATCAACTGAATCATGTGGACTTTATTGTGGAATTGGAATCTTTTATGCAATTTGTTGGCCTTTCTTATAGTCAGGCTTTTCATTCTGTAAATTCTATTTTTCTTTCTTTCAAAGCAAAGATTTCCTATACCAACCCTTTGATTGTTTTACTAGCATGTTTAGTCCTGTTCATTATTATATGATAATACTGTTTTAACAAGTCTTGCTGGTTTGTCAATTTGCAGTAGTAATTTGAATTAGTTTTAGAATTGTGTCAGTATATTTGAGTTAATATTTTAGATAAAATGTTAAACTAAAACTTTTAACAAACTAATTCTCTCAGCTAGCCATGCTGACCGACTCTCTGGCCTAGCCATGCTGACCGACTCTCGGCCTAGCCATGCTGACCGACTCTCTCAGATTCATTTTTCTAACTAGTTTTATTAGCCAATCAAAGTTAACTTTGGAGGCAACAACAATTGGCCTTATTACTGCCAAGGAAGGTAAGGTAACTTGAGGTGGGTGGTGTGCCAAAATATTTATTCACCCACCTTTTATTTTTACTTACTAATTTTTATTATTTATTTTTTCATCTTGTCATGCCATTTGATATAAATATATGATCATGGGACAGTGCAAGAAGTACTCATGATTTATTGATTTATTTTTTTCAAGGGCCTTAATTTGAAGTTGACAAAAGCAGTCACAACCAACTTTGTTCACTAATTCTATTTTGAATAAATAAACTTGATGCCATTTTAAATAATTAAAACAAATCTTTTCAATCCTTTTTTCCCTTCTTGGACTTGTAAATTTTTGGATTAAATTCATTAACTGGAACTGTAAGTTAAGATTGCTCTGAGGAAAAAAAACAAAAAAAACAAAAAAAAACAACATGTCTTGAACTACTTTACCTGATACTGTCTGAATGGGAGGAGGGGAAGGGGGAAGGCATCTGAAAGGGTAGATAAAAGCTTAAACATTGATAAAATGGTGCCTCATGTCCCAAATATCAAACTGACCTGACCTTTTTACCAAAAGCATTATGCCAACAAAGGATATCAATTTCTCAGGTTGACCAACTCCCTACAACCCCTGGATACCAGACTTCCTTCTGTTATTAAAGCTACATCACTCGTTATCGTCATCATTACCGCTGATGGGTAGCAGTAGTTAATTCATCATGAGGGCTTGTCAAATTGTCAGTAATCTTGTCTGGTAAACCCTGTGACCTTTGTGTGAAACCTGTTACCCCACATTCAGTCATCATTTTAAGAATGTGTCTGACCCATTTCATCACAAATCCAATAGTTACTAATTACTAAATCAAGTACAAAATACCTTAATGTGACAATGCTGATTGTAAAACAGCAAGAAATGTAATGTGACTGTGGTTGTAATTATAATAGCATTTTTCCCCCCTCTCTCAATAAAAAAGGATTCAGTATTCAAATGTGTTATTGCAGTATCATTTAGTTCTTTGATACCAATAAACAGTATAGCATAAAATACTTCAAAGGATGTTTTACTCTGTGTCCAGTTTTCTTGGATTTCTGCATGATTTATTTTGGATGACCAATTGTTTATGAAAGATTTTATCTGCTAGTTTTGTTATCCAGGAATTTTTCCTCTAGAAAAAAAAAAAATCCTGGATAACAAAACTAGCAGATAGGATTTTGTTTGCCTTTTTTCATTCAACTAAAATCCTGATCTAAATAAACAAGACCACCTTGCATCAGATTGTATTCTTTTCACATATGTAGCCTAATTGCAGCTGAAGCCAACTTTAATAAAAATGCTAATACCTTTGTTATTTGATAATATGAAATAAAATCTTTCTACATGGTTTATCACTTTTAATAAAAACATTTTTAATTTCATTAATAGCTGGACTCAATTTTATAATCTGAGCTGTTATTTTTTTTTTTTAAGATAATCATTTGTATTTGATCAAAGGACTTGTATAATCTTATGAATTATCGTGATAATCTTTTCCTTCTAAATTTTTATTTTTTGTTTCTTAGATGCCCAAGCTTTTGATCTGGACCATTAAGTGTAAAGAGTTTTCTTTGTTACACAGGGAATCATTGCATATTTATTTCTGTGCTTGTTGCTATATTTTAAATTGGTTTGATTTTGAATGATGCTATTAACTTCAGATCAGATTTTCAAAAGGCTCTCAGTAAGGTTTTGGCATAATGTTTGATTTATAATTTGATTTTCATAATACTAGAAATATTAGGTGGTGAATTTATCTACAAATATTATGGGGATTTGATGCAACAATTAGTAAATATCTTATTTCATCCTATATAATACCCATATCTGTAATTTGGCAAAGAATATTTTGCAGATTAATCCATACTTATTATTTTTGATTTGTAATCCATTTAATTCTTGGGTCATTAGGGGACTAGTGTGTCAAATGATTGTTTTAGGTGTTAGTATATTACTGGTAACCTAACCGTCTGGTTAAAAGCTACAAGATTTATTGTGGAGGAGAATCCTTCTATTCTTCAATGTTCCTTATATGGCAGTAAATATGTTATGTAAATTTTCTTTAGAAATTTACACTCACACACAGACAAATGAAATAGAAATCTTAGATTGTGCTAAGTGGTTTGTTTTTCTATTCACATATTAGTAACAATCTTTTTCAAAAGTTGGCCTAATTGTCCAGTTGAAATACTTAAGTACATGCAATTGAAACTGATGAAATCTTTTTCACTTTTCTTGAAAAACCTTGGTCTTTTATACCATTTCATGCCTTAACAATCTGTTAATAAAATTGACTTTTCCTTTTTCAGGTGTCGTTCAAGTGTGGAGTTCTCTATCCGAGCTGCCTGGCTCTTGGGAGCATATTCTGCTGATGTTTTGAAGCCCACTTGGAAAAACTCACAAGGAGTTAAGCTGAAGCATATGATTCTTAATGAAGAACTCCGGTGTGTATTTCACTTGGGGATAAATCTTTTTATTTTCTTATTTTTAAAGGATATTATGCTATCCTTGTATAGCCGTCCTATAAAAGAGTACCTGTTAAAAAGGATGATTTCTTTTTTGGTAGATTTTATTAACTTTATTATCTGGAATTTATATACCAGCTGTATACAGGGATTTTCTATGAATACTTAGAATGAATGTTTCTAAACAGTTTGTAATTTTATATAAAATTGTCAGGTTGTTACTATTTTGTTGTTCTTTAACAAAAGAAGTTTTGAATCATTTCATAATGTGGGATGTTACAGGGAATATTGTCGGTCTTTAATATTGATTATGGTGCTGAAACTTGTGCAGGATTCTTCCCTTTGTCCTTGTTTCATCACTGCATGCTCATCACAAGACAAAGCCTGGATGAAAAAGATGATGCTAAAGAAAATGTTGTCCTTATCTGAGGCAACTGGTTTAAAAAGATATAGTGAAAAAAAAAAAAAAAACTGTATTTTATATGCTTAAAACCATTTTCTTATCACCAGTATGTAAATATTTGTTCATTTGTTTCAAAAGATTTTTAATAAAACCCTGCAGTTTTTCTTTATGCATATAAAAACCCATTGTCTTCAAGGAGGCATTTATTGTCCTAGCCAAGTACCCTGTAATTAGAAATATATCATGGTTCACAATTGAAATATTTTTTTCTGTTACAGCCCAGTGCGCCAGAAGAGCCCTTCCACTCTTCCAAGCCCTACCCAGCATCAGCATCAGCAGCATCCATTATGTCCCCCAACATCCCCAAACTCTATTAAGAAAACCCACCATCGTTCACGCTCAGATGCAACTGGTAAGAATTTTAATTTTATTCTACTACCACAATGAGTTTTTTGCAGACCTGCACTGGGTTAGCTGTTGAAGTCTACAGCCAGCATATGGGAATTACGTAATAGGTTATTTCGTTCAGAAACACACATTCAGACTTCGGTGCATAATTGTGTGTGTGTGTACACACAGTCTTTCAAGTATAAATAGTGTTGTTTTTATAGGATATTTAAAATTACCTCAATTATAAATTTTTCTTAGCTTGATTGCTTGATATTTAGATAACTGTATCAATTTATAAAATTTTCTTCAGAAAAAAAAAAAATATTTTGATAAGCAAGATCCATGCAATATGATATAATTCTGCATGTTCCTTCCTTGGTTAGCATGTGCATTATGCCCTGCCATTACCTCAGATAAATAATGGACCAGATAAAAGAAAGATATATCAGAGACACTGATACATAAGAAAAGCAAAGATGGAGAAGGTGACAACACTCATATGTTAATGTCTGCTTCAGACACTTGTCACTGTGAATCTTTTCATTTGTACCCTTTTCCTTCTTTAAATATTAATATACAATCACACTCATGATTGTTATTGCAATATTTTGTTAAAGTTAAGCTCAAATATTTAACAATGTAATAGATTTTCCATATGTATTTTATCGTTGTGGAACTCTCATTAAATTAAGAATTTGAGTTCATCAGAAAATTCAAATGGGGAAAACTATGAAATTTTCATAGGTATTGCTAGTAAAAATCCAGATAAATCTAGAAAGTGTAAGGTTGATATTTAAATGGTAATATTGCCCTCTTTCTATGAATTAAGATTGTTTTTTTTTCCTTTCCAAGAACTATAGAAACTTCAATTTTCTCAAAGATTAATAGTGTCTCCAAGTAAATTAATGTCTCTTGATTCTGGAAAAAAGTTATATTCTTGCTACTTGTACAAATTAGAATTCTTCCTATTTCAGAAAATTCTGAATCTAAAAAGAAAAATGCTCTATAATATTTTTAAAAGTAATTCTGATATTCAACTTTCATCTTAAAAGCTTTATCTTTTTATGGTTTTTTACTTTTCTGTTTGTGAATGCCTATAAAAAGTTTAAAAACAATTAAATAACATAATTTTAAAAAGTAATTTGCATGCACCCTGTTTTTGTTTTGTCCTCTACTAACAAGAGGAGAATAAATCATTAGAAAGAAAATATAAACATAATTTGCTCTTATTAAAATGTTTAAATCCCTTGGGAATTTAGTACAACTGGGAGAAGCACATTGTGCTAACATGATAGGAAACTCTTTAAATATCAACAATGCCAATGCAGAGGGTGTCCAGTGAACTGTGAACCAATAGAAGTGCTTGAGGATTCATTGGTCAATCTCTCTGCAAAGCTGTAGAAAGCAATTGTCATGGCCAGATTAGTTAAAAGAAAAGTGATAAGATCCATAATATGGTGGGATCAGCTGGGCAAGGTGGTATGATTTTGAAAAACCTGAAACTCAACAAACCCAGCATTCACATCACTCATGACATACCCCAGTGTATCTTTGCAATGTGTATTGAGATTATCAAGAACAAGACCATTAAATTGTAACCAACTTTAAGTCCTGGACATTAAATGGCTTATTTAAGTAAGGTATAGGGTGATACCCATAAATAGAAATGAACTTAGCAGGTTAGTGGTATTAACCAAAATGCTCCATTTGAAAATGGTTACTTAGTTGACCAGTTGCTAAGTTTAAATGACTGTTTTAGCCAATGTCTGTTTGCAATGATAGAACAATGACCATTGTTAAAATAAAGAGCTCAGATAATCTTGTACCATCTAAAAATTTAATTTTTGTTGCATGTCTATAATATATGGAATTCTTAAATATTCTAATAAAGAATTATTTAGGAGCCAAAAAGAACATCCTTTGAAATTAGAAATTCTTTTTATTTACACTACTATCTTTGTAAATAAGAAGTAAAGGGAGAAGACTATCTCATTTTGGGGAATTTAGAATACAGCAAAGTAATTTGAAAATGGTTTTCCTTAACCTCCATTCCCAATAGGTTTTGTGTAATGCATGTAACTAAGAATGTCCTCATCTTTCCATGTATTGGGGAAAGTGATTTTAGATCTCCAGTGCCAAGAATTTGACTCTTTACTACTGCAAGCTTCACCTGAAGTAAAGAGTCAAATTCCCCTTTCAATATTAATATTATAACCCTAGTCATTTTGATACCAATAACTAGAGCTCAAAAATATGTGTGTATGGTGAAACTATCAAGATTATCAAACAAGAAGAAAAAGAACATGTTTTTATTCTCATTCATTCTGAACATGAATTTGATAAAAAAAAATGATTATATAAAATAAGAAATGGGAGAAGTAACTTATTGATGTTTGTCTGAATTGCTAAAGCATAGACCACATCTGTCTTAAACACCGTTTGATTGGAAGGAGTTAGAATTATTTTCCAAACCTATTTTCTACTTTACTCTTTCACTGCACCATAATTATGGTAAATTAGTAGGTTTATAATTTTTATAATATTACTATTATTATTTTACTGTAAGATTCATATCTAAACATGATATCCATATTCTGAGCAGTTTCATTAGGTTATGTCTAAATTTAAAAGAAAATGTTTGCCAGTCTGTGAAAACAAGATTAACATCTGGAAATGATTTATTCAGAAATCAAATTTAATACATTTTTTAGACATTTTGTTTTAACAATATTTTGCAATAAGATTTTATTTTGTGACTAATTGAGTAGTGTTTTTTTAGTTTTTTGTTTATTTTTTTTGTTGATGGCCTGTAACTTAATACATTTCAGTGTATTGGAAAGATTGTTAGCTAAACATCATTTAATTTACGTTATTTACATGCAGTTGGACTAATGTCCTCATTGTTATAACGTTTCATCTGTTGTGCTACCCAACCCATTTCTGATTACTGTCAATTCAGATAAACTTCAGGAACTTTCCAACTGAATCTTTTATTTAATCAAGAGTGGGTAGATTGTTCTCTTTCTGTTGTCCATTTCTAGGAATATCTCATTTTCTTTTTATTTAGTCTTGTTTAGTTAGTCATGTTTCCACCAATTTTGTACTAAACAACCCAGGAATTGAACTCGCAATTAATATCACCATATCTACTTCTGTAGATTATAGGGTTCACAGTTTGAAATTAATTCATGATTACCTGGGTTGACAAGCACCTGAAGAAAGCTGGAGGCTACAGTGACAGAAGCATTGTGTGATAGTAATAACAATAAAGATAAGGATATTAGACTGAAAATAATTCGTCATCCCAGAGATTCGGACAAACACCAATAAGTTACTTCTCCCATTTCTTATTTTATACAATCATTTTTTATCAAATTAATGTTCAGAATGAATGAGAATAAAAACTTGTTCTTTTTCTTGTTTGATAATCTTGATAGTTCCACCATACACACATATTTTTGAGCTCTAGTTATTGGGATCAAAAAGACGAGGGTTATAATATTAATATTGAAAGGGGATCAATTTCACTAGTGGCCTTATCGAACTATTAAATTCATCTACTGATTTGACTTGTGGAAATTTTGTATACTTAGAAGTAATATAAATTATATTGGTCAAAATTTGGTAGACTGTGATAAGTTAGAATTGGAATAAAAATTTAAAGTCGTAACTCAGTTTTGATTTTTTTAAATAGCTTTCTGTTCATAGCAGCGGATCTGTCATCTTTAAAGGAGAGAATTTAACTCTTTACTTTTGACATAAGATTATAGATTCTTTTTTCTTTCACTTTTCTACAGTCTTTTATAAATACGAAATGCATTTTTTTTTTATTGATGACTCATAAGCTTACTCCTTTGAATAATAGTACTGTTTTCTGCTTCATATTTTCTGTTAATTGTTGTGTAGGTGTGAATTTAGGTCAGTTATAATTGAACAATAGCAAAGTGGTGTCTGAGTCAGTGATTTGGTTAATTTAAATCTTAAGATTCATTGGGTAATGTGTAAAGGTTTAAGCCAAAGTTAATGACATGTCTGTCACATTTTTTGTGTGACACTTTATTAAGAATTTCTATTCCTGCTAATCAATGTAACTTCTAATGTCTAAAGTGCTAAAGAAGCCTCTTGGAATTCCTCAGATAGAATGAAAAGATTCTTAAAAAGAAAAAAAAAAGTGATTTCTGTGCTTTATATGGAATTAAGAGCAGCATATTATTTTTTTTGAAATTTTAATAATTTTGAAAATGTAAAAAAAAAAAAAAAAAAAAAAAGGCGTTTTTCACTTTTTAATTATCCTAGTAACTTTTATATAAATCCGGTTCTAAATATAAAGAACGTTATAAATTTTGGAAGAATATACTTATAAAGGTATTTAAATCTTCTGAATAAGGCTGTATAAAAAATAATGCACATATTGTTAAATTTATTTTTGTTATTTATTTTTTAATCAGCTGAAGTGAATTTTCATTTTCTATAGTATCAATACACAAAAATTGTACAATGCTTAAAAAGTAAATGTCAGAACATTAAAAAAAATAAAATATAAAATCTACTTATAAATTATAGCATTTCTATTCTAAATTCCTGTTTGCATAATTGTTCACTGATCAGTGGATCAAGATTTATCATTTTGCTAATCACTTGTTTAAAAATCAAAAATGGCTTTTTACCCAGTAAACCAGGTAGGAAATAAGTATAATTAGAAAGGTTGAAATAGGGTAATCTCTAACAGAAAAAAAAAGAAAATGGGGCCTGGTTGTATGGTTTGGGGTTAAGTGACAGTTATAAAACTTATCCTTCTTAATGTTTAAATATTTTATACTTTATAAAGAATCTAGTTCTATAATTCTTAATAGACTTCATCAATATATTAGTTTTGATTAAATTTATAACTTAAACCTGAAATAATGAAATGGCTGTTAGATTAAATAAAAACCTGGGTTTAATAACACTCAAACTGACAAATAGGCTCATTCTGGGTTCTCTTTTTTTTTTCAAAGGGAAGAGGTTAGGGTAGGGGTAAGAATGGAAATGTTTATGAACTGGTAAAAGCCAATATTTGCCCTACAATTTCCTACAGGCCAGCATAAGTTCAAACGGCGTAGGACCAATTCATGTGGACATGAGAATGAGACGATATATCAGAGGGAAGGTAAGATGTCCATCTCAATTTCTGCTGGCTTTTGAACAGGCGGGGGATACAATCTCTTTCCCCTCCCTGCCAGTTCAATCTCTCTTTCTCTCTGACTTCATCTACATTCCCACCCCTTTTTTTTGTTTATCTCACCCCCCTTTACCATGAAAAAAATTTACTAATTTGTTTGTTTCTGCTTTGTTTTGCTTTTTCTCCACATTTTGCTGTTGCTTTTGACATTTGTTAGTTTGGTTATTGATGATTTAGAAAAAAAAAAGAAAAGAAAATTTCTTTTTCTCTTTCATAAGGAATTATCTGTTAATCTATTTTGATGTTCCTGATACTCACACTTTTCTGTTGGTTTTGTGTATATATATATATATATATATATATATATACACAACTTGACAGAAGCCCTTTTTTCTCTCTCTTGTGTCCAAAAATAGTTAAAAAATACATTTGATTACATAATAATTGCAATTTCTAAGACTTATTGTGCAAAATAATTGGACTCATTTTTTGTGTTACTAGTATTACCAACTGTTATTGATTAATATTGTCTATAGCCTTCTTCAGCTATACAAATCTGTAAGGAAAGAAAAGGGTCTGTATATCACCAGAACAATATAGCAAACAGTGAATATACCAATCCAGCAGTACTTTGTGACTTACAGGTGATAAAATTCACAATCCTCCATAAAAGATTCTAATATATATATTCATTCTCACTTGATCAAATAAAACCACATCTCAAATAAAATGTTGGCTTGTCTTACAATAAGCAGGCAAGCTTCTTACTCTCCAATGATATTTCCTGACAATTATCTTGACCTCATCTATTTTTCTTTTTTTTTCTTATAGATTTTACACTTGAAGAAGGCTGTAAAATGGATCAAGCAAAACTTTTGTGAATAATTTTCGCTAAAACAAAGAATAAATTTGCTTGTCTGAACAAATACTTATGTTAATGACTTCTCAACAGTATTGAGAATAATAATTGAAAATGTTTAAATATTTTGGATGAGTAAAGAAATTTTAAGATTGTAATCCTACCTTCTTTTGTTTTTGGAATATAAATAATTTTTATGAAAATACAGTTTGTTTATTTTTAAACAACCCTAAATGCATTAATAATGCCATCTGCACATTTGCATAATGGTTCTGCAGTAAAAGGAATTGTGTTGCACATTTGCATAATGGTTCTGCAGTAAAAGGAATTGTGTTGCACATTTGCATAATGGGAATTTGGTTATTTTGGAAATTTGGGGATTTTCTAATTTTATTTTTTATTTTTGCATTTTTTTAAAAATTTGTTTTTTTTTAAGCTGTAAATTGGTTCTTTTTAAGGTTAAATTACAAAATTTATAATGGTTTTCTTTGTGTACATGCACACACAAACATTTGGTTTTGTTTTCTAAGAATCAATTTCACAGAGAATTAAAATGTTATTTTTCTATTTCTTTTTTTAAAATGATATGCTTTCATGTATATACCCATTTGCATGGATTAATATATGCATGAGAATTACTTTAAAAAAAATAATACTAATTTTCAATCTGTTTAATATTTAAAGTACTATAAAATGTTTGTAATTTAACAAAACAACATACTTTTATTTTTATCACTTTTAACTTTATCTAATGAAGAGATCTATTTTGGGTAATAGTTTATTGGTTAGCATAATTCAAATAGGAAATCAAAATAATGTTGCTGTAACTAGATTTTCAGACTTTTTATTTAAATGTTAATCCTAGAAGATGGGGGGAGGGAATTATTGCATTAACATTGTCCAACATGAAGATCACAGGAATTAAAATTTGAGGTTTTTTTTTTTTTTTGTTTTTTTTTAATATTTATGTATTTAGCCATAAAATTTTCAATATATATTTCAAATAACTGCTACATAGAATCTTAGGAACATTGAAAATTAAAATAATGTTTCTTAGCATTGAAAGAAACTTACTTATTTTAATGTAGACAATATTGCCTCTTAGTTGGATAATTAACATCAAGCATTTTAATTTATTCCCGTCTAACCAGCCTTTTGCCAACCAGTAAATTTTGGTTTATGGAAAAAGTATATACCTGAAAAGAAGAAAAATTAATTGACCCTGTGTTAAGTGAAGGGCACCCTGAAATACCTCTCATAAAATGGTAAGACATTAGCTAGATGAAGGCATCATTGCCACTAATGTTTTACCATTATGTGGGAGGTATTTTTGTTGCACAGTGTATTTTTTATTTATTTATTTTTTTTTTTTTTTTCATAAAATAATTTATTCTATTTCAGATATAGATTAGAGAATTTATGTATAATCGGGTTATGTAAAATTTATATTTTTTTACTGAAATTTTATGTTACTTGTTGGTGTAAAATTTTCAGGACTCACTTTAGTTACAAGCAAAAAAATATATGCTTTAATAATTGTTAGATTTGAATTTATTAATCAGTCATTTAAGCAAGATATTTTCACATAGAAATTTTGCAGTTTTAATTTTAAACATAAATTGATTCATTTTAAGTACAATTTTTTTCCTAACTTTAAAACCTTATACAAGTGAATGCTGAAAGGTTCTTGGCCTGACTGAAGTTGATATAAAAACTAAATTGAGAGCTGTTGATTTGAAATATTTTTTTTTTCTTACACACATTACCTATTTGCAGGCTTATGTAGTAATGTCCTAAAATTTAAAATATTCACTATTTCAGATATCTTTTATAGTTAAAATATTGTAAGGGATCATGTTTTATTTATTAAATTGAAAACTCTGTCAACTCTTTTGTCAAACACATTGACTTGAACTGTTTGTTGGGGAGAGCAAGTATAGCATAATATGCCATTAGTGTTTCAACTTGTTTTCTTTAAGCTAAAGTTGATTGAAGCGAAACCAGTATGTTTGGAAGTTTATTTTTGACTGATTTTTATGTCCACTCTTCTGTATGAGAACCAGTCATTTATGTTAATAGCAACAGCAATGACTTAGCAGTCGAGGCATTATTGTTCAATCAAGTGCTTAAGAGAATTCCTGGCTTTGAGGACTCTGTGATTTGTTAATTATTCAGCTAAAATCTAATTACACGATTTTTTTTTTTTTTTTCTATTTCAAAACCTGATGCTTTGCAAGCCCACTATATCTGAGCTTCTTGACTATGGAAAAACACTTACCTTTTATTAAACATTCAATGTCTCTCTTGCATTAATCAAATCTGTAGCTTTCACCATTAGATTTTTTAAATCCTATAATAACATTTTTTTTTCATTTTGAGCTTGTAATTTTCATTAACCAACCAATGAAACCTTCAATGATTTTATTTTCAGTTATATTTTTTAATCTTTTTTTTAAAATGTTGCTGTCTTTTTTAACCAGTATCTTCGTGTCTATCCAGATATAGTAATCAATCTTTTTGGTTTTTCATAAACCTGAAATTATTGGCAGTCTCATGATATACTTGTGTGTATGTGTATATGTGTATGGCAGACAAGGACAATTTAATTAATTTTTTTTTTAGTTTTTTCAGCATACTTATGTTTTCTGTTTTGTAGGAGTAAGAGAGTAGAGAAAGTTTCCATAATTTTCATTGTCCCAAGCACTTTCAGACACTTCTTTAGTCATTTTCAAGGTGGTTTTATTTTGGTAGTGTTAGTTTTTTATGTTTTTGCTGTTTAAGCTGTATTTTATTTTTGTGTTTTGAATAGAAAGCTTGGAGTAAACACTCCTGTTCAAACAACACAAAAATAAAATACAACTTAAACATTCAAAACATAAGGAAAAACTAACAACACCAAAAACAAAACTTCGCTGAAAGTGCTCGGGACAATGAAAATTATGGAAAATTTATGTACTACTACAAAACTGAAAAATGTAAGGATGCTGGAAAATTAAATAAAAAAATTAATTAAATTTTCTTTGTCAGTCATATTTAATGAAAGAGGTTTAAAAGAAAGGTTGTTGCCCAAATATACATTAATATATATTTTTTTAGGAAATGGATTTAATCAGACAGCTTTTTAATTTGTTTAAATGCTATTTTTTAAATGGATACTCATATTTGAGTAGACCCTCCTTTTTTTTTTTTTTTTTTTTTAAACTAAAAAGTATATTTATTTGTAACACTATATCCTCACCCCACTGGACCCATGCACTCCACAAGACTGACCGTTGGTTCGGTATGGTCCAGTATTACAGGTTAGGCACAAGTCTCCTGTTCCCAATATCAATTCGAAGCCATCCTCCAGCCACATTTTTTTTTTTTTTTTTTTTTTTTTTTTATCCTGGAGAGTGGTCATCAGATCGTAGAAATTCGGAAGCTTCCTGTTGGTCCACCTGCGAGTTTGTCAAGTGAGAATTGGGTTAACAGAATAATAAATAACCAAGTCAATTCAATTTTGAAAGGACAAAATGTTGTTTTTTTTGTTTTTTTTTTTATATATAAAAGCAAACACAAAAAATATAACTTCTTGTTGCACAAGGTTGAACGTTTCTTGTATGTGAACAATAACCAAACAAACACAAATACTTTGAATAATTTCGGTAAGGAGAAATGTGGCCTTCATTTTAACACTTTTTGGTCTGTTCTTAGTACATCTACTACAACTATTGATGTTCCCATTCTCAGTAGTATTAGTAGTAGCAGGAGTAGCGGTACTTAGATGTTAGTGGCAGTATTTTGCTTCCTCGCCCTCAGCTCAGCAACACACAGCAGATGCTTTCTTTTCAATTTCTGACATCACTCCACTCAGTTTGACTACATTTGAAGACAGACGAACCCAAAACTCTCCTATCTTCTGGTTGGCTCACCTCTTTATATAGAGAACTGGTGATGTATCTGTTTTTCTAGTCCCAACGTACTGACATACTTTCAAAGTACAATTTCACTCCTCCAAGAGTAAACAATTTACCTTTTCATTGATTGGTTTCCAAGGTCCACAACAAGACTCTGTTGTTTAACACCTTGCTATCAACCACTCTGCTGCTTTTTGTAAACTGCAGAGAGTCTTGTTTCAAAAATAAATTTT